AACACCATAAATAGACAGAAAAGAGTAAAGTGGTCAGTGAACAGATTTTAAAATACAAAGAAATGAGCTTGCACAGTGTATGAAGTGTGTTCATGAATGCACTAGACTTCAGAGAGCAGAACAGGCACTGGCCTTTAGAGGTCACTAGCAATCAGTCCACTAAATCCAGCAGCGCTGTCCACTGCTCATAACACTGGTAAATGCTTGATATCTATAAGCCTCTTAAGAAAAGCGGTCTTACTTTTGTTGTTATACTTTTCTTCTTCCTGAAATAGTATGACCTTATTAATCAGATTTGGCACAGAAAGGTCCTATGCTATTTTTGAAAATCAAATTCACCCTCACAGGATCAAGATGAGTCACTGCTGAAGATATTCAAAAGAATAAGGTCAGATACTGATGTAAATTCTAAGAAGATTTCAACAAAGGTTATAAACAAAACTTTCCAAAATGACTACTGTGTTCAGAACAACACACACACTGGATTTAAAAATCTGTCATTACTTCATAGACACACCTTAAAATAGAGTTCCTGGACACTATGCCAAGAGACGCCTTATTGCTAAACACAGCATACAGCGGGACAGGCAGTAATGTCCCAAACCCCTCATCCTGGGGAGGAGAAAGAGACAAAACTGGGGCCTCTTGCTCTGGTCCTGTGAAATCTGAATGCTCTCATTTCCTTCCTTCTTTTTGGTTTTTTAGTGGAAAATAAAATAAAAACTCATTTTTCTTTCTTCCTTTCTTTTTTTAATTTGGGAAGCAGTTAATACCAATAATAGTTAAAGATTCTTTCCCTGTAAACCTTCCAAGAGGAGTATACTGAAAGTGTACGCACAGTTAAGTCACCACCTTAACCAAGTGATCAAAGTTATTGTCACCCAAAGTGGGACAATCTAACTCTTAAGTGCCAACAAATTAAAAGAAAAGGAAATAAAGAACATGGCCCACTTACTATTCTCTGAAAACATTTTTTATCATAAACCTAAATATGAGGAAATAACTCAGTCAAATCCAGAATGTGCAAACTTCCAAGAAGATAATTTGTCTGACTTTTTTAAAAAAGATTATTGTTCTAAGAAACAATAAGAGATGGAAAACTTTTAAAAAACAAAACTTTTAAAAAACAAACAAAAATGTAATGTGTGACATTTAAATAAATCCTGAATTAGAAAAGCAAAACAAAAAAACACTACAAATAACATTTTGAACCTGGGATAATCTGAATATTAATAATACTAATTTTAATACTGTTAGGTGTTACAACAGGGTTGTGGTTAAAGACTCCTTTCTTATTCTTATGAAAAGCACATTGAAATATTTAAAGGTTCACCGTGTTATTTTGAAATGGTTCAGCAAAAAAAAAAAAAGGAATAAGTATATGAGAGAAAGACAAAGAGTGGAAGGAGAAGGGGCATGAGGAGAGACTTGGTGAAAGGTACAAAGAGGTTCATTCACTGCCTTTCATAGTTCCTAAAGTTTGAATATTAAAAAAAAAAAAAAGGCTAGAGAGAATGAAAGACAGCCACAGAGCAATGGAAATACTAGACATCTTGTCCACAGGGGTATATATCCAAGCAAAAAGCAAAGAACACTTTTCTTAGTTATAATGAAGTTTCCTGACATATACCCCAAATCCACCAGCAGAAGCTGTAGAGATGGTCCAACAGAGGCAACTGTAGAGATGCAGCGATGGTTAAACAGAGGCAGAGGCCACCATTTTCTGTGCACATTTAGCAGAAATTTTCTAAACTGTCAAATAACAGAATCCTAAGCCCCTGAGCTTGTTTTATTGTGGTCTTATAGACATGTTTAAGGGCAGTATTGTTTAGGGAGCTAGTCCCAAAAGAGAATTTTATTTTATAATACTGGAGCATTCTCCCAGTTAGGAAGAAGACAGGAAATTTAGCTGCTCTCTTAAAGGTGAAAATAGTGGAGGACAGATAGGGCTATTTAGTATATAAAAATCCCAAATATAATTTAAAATATCATAGGAAGATCCTAGGGTAACAATATTAATGATTTTTAAACTTTACATCATTAAATTTTATTTTGTATTTTTATATTTTATAATATTTGTCTATATAAATATATATAAAACAAATAAAGGTGCTGGTTTAAGCACAGGACAGTCACTTACACTCCATTTTTAATTGTATCTGACAAAATACAACTTAAAGAAGTTTAATTTGGCTTTAGTATGTTTCTACCTTTCTTTACATCTTACTTTTTTTTTAACTGTAATTTTAATAGTCAAGTAAAAACTGAAATTTAGAATATTAAACCTAAAACTTACAGTGATGGTCCATTAATACATTCATTAGAAATAGTACTATCACTTTAAAACAATCATTTTATAATTTAACTTGTTGCATTATAAGAAGAATTACAAAATATACCATAAAAATTTGTTATTATTGTTATGTTGTTATATTGTTATATTATTATACATGTTACATATAACATGTTGTTATTCAGACTCGAGTTCAAGTAGAAACAAAAACCCAAAAGTAAATGTCAGGTTTTGATTGTTTCTCAGTAAACTATTATCATAAAAGATTAGAAGTGATAATAATATGCAAACTAAGAGCATCAGGTTAACTCTTGCAGCTGATCAAACATACAGTAAATACAAATGGACAGGTACAGTTCCAATTGGATTAACTTTCAAATGCTGGCCAGTATGAAACCATGAACCTGTAACAACTCAGAAGAGCATTATTTCTCAGACTTACAGACATGTATCTTCTAGACTGAATGGAATTCATACATTTTACTCAAAAATATTTATTCCATCCATAGTATTAAAAAGAAAAGGAAAGTCTTATTTTTTTTCCCCACAATACTCTTGCTGTATTTGAATTCTTCCTAGTTATCTTCTATCCATCTTCTATCCACAGCCACCATTGTCTGAAAGATGGAAGGCTGGGACCACTGACGCTGAAGACAGGCTCAGTGATAAGGGTCAGGAGCACTGGCTGCTCAATGAGCATCTACAACATGAAGCAAGTTTGGTACCACGAGGAAGGGAGAAAAAAATTCAGTGTAGTCTGCTACGTCTATTATGGTAATAAGCTCTTCATAACAGCAGCAATGTTCATAGTCCAAAAAAAAAGCAAGGGGAACATCCCAGAGATCATTTTAGGCATAGAAAATCCACCAACTTAAAAACAGTTTTAAGCAAAAAATAACACAGGGGACTTCCCTCCAATGCAGGGGGTGCAGGTTCAATCCCTAGTCATGGAGCTAAGATCCCAGGTGACCTGCCGCCAAAAAACCAAAACATAAAACAGAAGCAACACTGTAACAAATTCAGCAAAGACTTTTTTTAAAAAATGGCCCACATTAAAAAAAAAAAACTTTAAAAACAGAAGAAAATATAAGCAGTATTTTCATAGGAGGTTCATCTAAGAGAAAGGGAAGGAGAAAAATGAAAATAGAGAAAATATTTGTGGATTAAAAAAATTTTATATGCATAAGACAGAAGAGTATTTTCTCCATAAAATTTTCAGAAATAACTTCTTTAGCTATACTTAAAAAAAATGCTTACTTAAGTTATTCTGCTGCTATTAAAACAAACAAACAAAAAGAAAAACAGACTTTACTTTGGGATACTTTAATAACCATAATACTAATACAAGAGTGAAGAAAAAACTTCTACATGTACCTCTTATCATCTAAAGGTGAATATGTGGCTTTATATAAAATAAGATTAATTTTCAATAAGTTCAATATTACAAATTACATGCACTATGGACTTGAAAGCTTTATTATATTAAAGGAACAACTGACATATATTACTTCAGATTCACTTAGAAATAAAGGAAAGAAAAAAAGACAGAAAACTATCCTTTATACGGAAAATGCTAAAGCATTACAAATTTTATAACAAATTCAATAAAAATTTTCTAAATAATAGTATTTATGAGAATCCAAACTCAATCATATATACAAAACATAGGTTCTGATTAATGGATCCACTATTGCAGAAGACCCCAAAAACTGAAGCACATTGGAAAGAAAAGACTAGTTTCTGGACCTAATACGACACAAGCAGCTCCCAACAGAAGACAGAAGAAACTAAAGCTTTATAAATTCTTTCGTCTTTTTCATGAGTCACAGTAAAAAAGACTAGCATGGTAAAACAGGTAGACAGTGAATGCTTTTACTTACAAGAATTACTTTTTGCACATTACCAAAGTAGAAAACTTAGTGAATCATACACATTGATCTGGGTAGTCTTTAATTTCACTGAATTATATTTTAATTTCTACCTACACACCCTAATCAAGATAAATATTCTTATAATAAGGCTAAACAGATCATTTTAACTCAGGTACAAAAGAAGTGTTCAAACACTGCTCTAAATTTTTAATTATTATTATTTCATTCATAAACTAGTATGTTATCAAAGAGTACAGCCTCGGATGAAGCCTACTTTTTGAAAGAAAGACTTCAACAGAATGGCAATGGCTCCAAATTCTCTGAGCAGACAAAAGAACAAAATTTTCAGATTTACCTTGTGGTGAAAGATTTCATTATCAATGCTGGAAAAGTGCTTTATTAATCTTCCAAATGCAGCAGCTCAACTATCTTTTTTATGGTTAACAGAGAAGAAATAACACCTCTTCAGATCCAAATTCAGCCTACCAAACAACCCCAAGCTTTGTCCAGCTGCACAGAAACACAAGCAAGCTGGCAAGAAGCCTGGGAACCTCTGCCCCCTCCTGCACTGGGGTCTGAGGGCACACACATTTACATACTCACATTAAAGTTTCAAAATACAAGTGCAATCCTTCAAGAATCATGTGATGAGTGTAATAATTTTAAAGTTAAGAAATCATACAGAAAAGCACAGGGCAAGCACAAAAAGAGAGCAAGAGAGCAACAGGCAACGCGTCTGCAATCTCCACACCTACAGAAACCAAAAAATACCTTTTGAATGAGGACTCTGTTATAAGCAAACAACACAGCATTAGTCTCTTTACCCAAACTGTTTGTTGCCTTTTCAATTAACACCTTTTTGCCTTATGCTCTGTTTCCAGGGACAGATCAAGAAGGGCATGAACAATTCATACCTCCACCAGGAATAATTGCCAACTTTGTTTCAACCAGGCCCATTTTTGCAGAGGAAGCTAAAAAGGAAAGAAGAAAATTAAATAACATCCAAATCATCAAATTCAAATACGATGACTTGAAATAGTAATATAAGCTAGAAATATTGTTTACTAATTAAATTTGTGTCATAAATCTTCTTAAAAATCACTCCAGAAGGCATTCAGTTATGTAAATAAGTAAACATTCTAAATGACATATATTAAGAGATTCACACAACATTTTCTGTTAAAAATTGCTTGGCAGCAAATTAAGTTTTGATGCAGAAAGACCAGGGGTGTTAACTACATAATTTGACCTGATACTGCCAAATCATGTTTGAAGGCATAGATCTCATTCATTATTCAGGATCAGGAGGTTGACTGTGTCTAACAAGTAACAATTCTTTAGCTGCCCCAACAGTCCTCCAGATCAAATAGCTTAATATATCATATCAGATATGGCAACTCCTCAGGACCAAATCTCTAGTTACTTTTGACAAATGGTTTTACTGTTCTGACAGCTGGATAGGGTTCCTCTTTCCATGTTTGTTTTCACAGCTACTTTAAAATATCTTAATTATTTCTTTATTTGCATATCCAAATGTGCTTGGACTACTTCCTATCTCCTAATTCCCAGAACTTGCATTCTTTCAGAGATGGATTGCATGTAACTTGACTTTTCAGTTTAAAACCCAAAAAGCTGTCAAGAAAACAGAAATCTAAAACAAACTGAAAAGGGAAAGTACACATAAATTAGTAACTGCAAATTCCAAGAGCCAGTTCCCGTAAAATTATTAAAAACATAATTATAATGATTCTACATTTAACAGGCAGCTCCATCAGAAGAGACAATGGGAACCAGGGAAAGAACAGTGACAAATATGTGCTGCCTGTGGCACTCAGTCCTTGGTCCGAGAGCCCCTCTTTGTCGCCCTGATGAGGGACAACGATACAGACAGCGCTGTGATCATACAGAAGATAGTGTCGAGAACAGCAGGGGCAGCATGCAGTACTCTGAAAGGATAACAGAAGTGAGCGCTGTCACATGAGACTGCCTGGGTTCAAATCCCAGCTTGGTCACTGATTTGTGGTTTGTTTCTTCACCTGTCTCAGCCCTAGCTTCCTCAAGCACCAAAAGTGTATCTATCTCACAGGGCTATTATGCAGATTAAGTGAGCCTAAGTATATGTCAAGTATTAGGTAAGCACCAGGTCAATACTCAGCACATGGTTAGCACTAATTGTTTCCTTTACTATTTTCATAATCACCTCATCCAATACTCAGAAAACCTTGCAGGAACAAAGTGAACCTCAAAGACATTAAGTCATTATTACCATAGCCCTAATAATAATTACATGCTTAGACTAGGCACATGCCGGAGATGAATTCATTTAATCTTCACAATAGAAACCTTCATTTCCCCCACTGTACAGGAGGAAACTGATCTAAAAATGACAGGACCTAAGATCCAAATTCAGTTCCATCTGACCCAATTCCTGTTCTCCTTTATTCCTGTTAAGACTGAAAAAGATACTATAAAAGACTGTTTTCTTAACTGGGAATTTTAAATACTTCATTAAGCTCAACAGGTGATTTTTTTAAACATATTTTATTCAACAATACGGGAGAAAAAAATATTTGGAGTTATCTGAAGGTAAAGAATCCACCTGCCAATGCAGGATATGCAGGAGACACAGGTTCTATTTCTGATTAAGGGATAGATCCAAGGGATCTCGGAAGGGGAAATGGCAACCCACTCCAGTATTCCTACATGGAAAATCCCACGGACAGAGGAGCTTGGCAGGCCACAGTCTAACGGGTCACAAAGAGTTGGACACAACTGAGCACACACAGGAAATACAAATCTCATTTTTTAAAAGTTATGTTTCTTTCTTTTTTATTTTTTAAATTATGAAAGTATAAAAACATCTACAGGAGACTTGGAAAATACAGAACAAAGTTACATATAGTTCCACTATATATGACAATTATTTAAAGTAGATAAATTAAGATTTTTAGTTGGGGTTTCAATACCAAATTCTCAAAAATTAACAGGAAAAAAGTTATGTTTTAATAGGACTAATTCTCACCTGCTACTCTTATATCACATGCTAAAGCCAGTTCAAGTCCACCACCTAAAGCAAGTCCATCAATTGCTGCAATGGTTGGCACTGGAAGATTAGCTGAAACAGAAAGAAAGACTTCATGCTTCTTCAGTAAGGCTGTTCTATGCAATTATTTCATATTTTTTAATGTAAATATAATTTAAATGGAATATTATCTATAGAATTTTGTATTCCTTTCACTATTAACTAAACAATCATTTATCATGATTCTAGAAAATGTAATGATCATATAGTGTTCTACCACTTAAAATATGCAGTAACATCTTTAAATCTTACCGTACTATTGAAATACTTTCATAAATACTTTCTGTTGCATTAACAGGATCACAGTTCTTTGTAATCTTTGAACCTAAAGTCTTTTATGAGATGTTTGGTTCATATAAATTTCAAGTTGGAATGACTTAGGTATAATGGATAACTCATGACCCCTTTACAGGTTATCTTGGTTCTTAGAATGATAGAACCTCATTCAGAGAAGTAATATATTTACTCAAACAAGACAGAAACAGTCTCAGTGGTTGCCAAGGCATCAACCCAATAGTTCTACCATTTGGTAAGAACACAATGAGCGCGCACACACACACACACACACACACACAATACAATGAGCGCGCGCGCACACACACACACACACACACACATGATGAATAATTCCTAGAAAATACCAGACACTTCAGACGGAAGAGACACTTGAATCTGCCTGTAAGTATGACTGGGAAGGGATTAGCCAATCACAAACTCAAAATCAGACATTCTTTAGTCCAGAAACAGATTACTATTTTACTGAAACTTTATAAATCATAATATATACATTTTTTATAACTGGTTCAAAAACTGAGTGGTTAATTATTATGTAAAGCAGAATCCTTTCTATTAATTCTATTTTTGACTATGTGAATGCGAAGTTTAGGCTGAACAACCTTAACATATGAATAGAATGGGGATATTAAAAAGGTACCATCTCTTAATGTGTTCTCACCACAAAAAGAAATAATATTGTGTGACATGATGGAGGTGTTAGCTAATGCTACAGTGGTAAACATATGACAATACATAAATATATCAAATCAACACATTCACCTTAAACTTACACAAGTTACATGTCAATTATGTATTAATTTAAAGTAAATAAAATAAAAATGAATAAAAATAAAATATTAAAAGATACCATCACTAGAAGCCTATCTTCCATAGGTATTCTGATACGTGAAATTCCTCAGACAGAGATGTTTATTCAAATGTGTTGAAGTGCACTGAGTTTTATTCATACATGAAGAAATTTATCAAATTTATTCTAAGAGAAAAAGTCTGAAAAGGCTGGGATAGAGCACATATAGATGCTGCCATCTGAGGCAAAAGCACTATTGGTTGAGCAGGAATGAATGAGTCTTTGCAACAGGGCATATTTCACTATTTGTACCTGTCTGAGAGTTTTGGGGGGAGGTGGGAGCTTGAAAACACGGGGCAAATTCAAAGGTGCTCCACACAATGTGCCACCTGATGAAAAAATGAACAGACAGCGATGTCAGTGTTTACAATCAGGAAGTGAGAGTAATGAAAAAATAAAATTTTATCTGACAAAAAAGTAAAATTGATGATGTAATATAATGGCAAATTAATCTGAGTGGCTCCCACAATCACCTCAAGCCACTACAAGTAAAATGGAATTAGTGTTACACAGGTCCCAAACCCCTTTCCTTTCTACAAAGCTAGTTATAGAAATTATCCTATTTCTAGACTCCTTCAATCTGCTACCTCCCCAATCTCAAGTCTCTCTCACTATGTAGGCCTCACTATGGCCTTGGCTCACCTTCCGGTAAGATAAGCTTCTGGAGGGAAAAGAATAAACACTTCCCCTCACCTCCACCTCACAGTGCTAGTCCCACTCGTCTCACAGAGACTGTTTTTGCTTCACTTCCCAGTGACACTGTGATACTGTCCCATAGCCAATGGGCACTATCCAGTCCCTATTAAACTTCTTGCCTCTGAAGATGAGAAACTTTAATCCTGGACACTCCTCCTCTTTGAATTCCTCTCTTCCTTTGCCTGCTGGGTCCCTGCCCTCATTTTTCCTGCCTTTCTTCCCGCCTCTGGTTACATAACTCAGTCTTCTTCCCCTATCAAGATAAGTTCTTCCCAGGAGGTCTCTTTGCTTTCACCATCTATAATACCAATGATATCCAAATCACCACCTGAAATCCAAGCTTCTCTCTAAACTGTATCTCTATAGTTACCTGCCTGTTGAACACCTCTACTTAAATACTTTATCATGTTCAAATCAACTTTCTGTCAATCCTTCAAGATTCTATTTCACATTTGGTTAGCATCTCCATTCACCAAGTTACTCAAAACAGACACCCAGAAGTCATCTCAAATGCACTCTTTTCCAGGGATCTTACATATAATTGTTTTCTAAGTCCTGTCTAACAGCTCACAAATTGGCAAATCCCCCTCCCTCTGCTACAGTCAGAGTTATGGGCCCCCTCATTTCTCACAAGCAGGAGACCTCTAACTGACTTCCTTTACCTGCACAGTGAAGGATAGAACCAGTCAATCTTAAAGAAAATCAACCCTGAATATTCACTGGAAGGACTGATGTTGAAGCTGAAGCTCCAATACTTTGGCCACCTAACGCAAAGAGCCAACTCACTGGAAAAGACCTGATGCTGGGAAAGATTGAGGGCAGGAAGAGAAGGGGACAACAGAGGAGGAGATGGTTGGATGGCATCATTGACTCAACAGACATGAGTCTAAGCAAACTCCAGGAGACGGTGAATGACAGGGAGGCCTAGGGCACTGCAGTCCACGGGGTCGCAGAGTCAGACATGATTGAGCAACTGAACAACGATCCTCAATGTTTCCCTACCATTATACCTTCTATATCTCTTGCAGGATAATTTTCTAAAATGCAAACACATTCATGATACTCCTCTATTTAAAACAGTACAATGATTTATTCCACATTCAAGATAAAAACAGTGAAAAATTCAGCATGGCACAGGAAACGGCTGCCCACCTACCCAACCTCTTCTCCAAACTCACATACATACTCCATACTTAAGGCACCTTCAGAAATCATTTACATCCAAAGCTGTGTACAAGCTGCCCATTGCCTAGAATGCCTAGCTAGCCCCTAATTATCTTTAGAGGTAATTATTTTTATGCTTCCTTGGCACTTTATACATGTTTTTCCAACACAGCATTCACACCACCTTATTGCCCATTCAGAAACAAAGATTCACATCACATAAAGCTGGTCAATAATATCCTTCTTGCCACTCTGCAACAAACCTCAAGATTTTTCATTGCCTCTTCTATCTCCATTAATTCTGATATTGTCTCTATTTTTCTCTATTGTCCTATATTGTCTCTACTTTTCTTATTAACTTCTTTCATTTTATAATTAAATGGAACAATATGAATATATGCAGCCCTGCAGAGCTACAGAAAAGAAAAACTGCAGAGTTCCTAAGCTGGAGAGAGCAATAGGAACAGGGGGAGTATCTCCTCACTATGGAAAACACTGGTCAACAGTAACTGCCTTCAGGACTCACTAAATTTGCTGGAAGCTGACACATCAGAAAATGAATTAACAGAAGTGAGTTTAGTTTAAAGGGCTTTCAAAAAAATCAAACCTGGCTTCCCCTGTGACTTAGTGGTAAAGAATCTGCCCGCCAATGCTGAAGATGCGGGTTCAATCCCTGGGTGGGACAATCCCTTGGAGAAAGAAATGGCAACCCACTCCAGTATTCTTGCCTGGGAAATCCTATGGAGAGAGGGGCCTGGTGGGTTACATCCATTGGGTTGCAAGGAGTCGGATAGGACCTAAGAGACTAAAACACACACAAACATACAAAATCAAACCCAGGCTTGAAATATATGTACTCCCAAGTTCCAGTTTCTGAAAATTTCAACTCATGGTAAATAGGGATTATTTCAAGTTCCTTAGGTTTTTTTTAAATAAGAACAAACTGATGTGATGTATATGGAAAGAGGAATTTCTCTTCACATGAAACTGGGCATTGAAAATGTAGACTAAATAGAAGTGTAAAAGGAATAAATTGACTGCAAATTACAAAAGAAATATTTGATAACCTCGTAATACCTAAAGCATAATGGAGAGAATACCAGAAAAGGACAATTCTTGGTCATCTATAATGCTCTTAACACTGAAACACAAAGGCAATGATTGTCTCAAAAAGAACTGACATAACTTTGCTCTACATTTTTATTAGTTAATATTCTCAAACAAATATTACACTTAAAAATCACACTTAGCTAATAGAAAGTTAAAAAGCATCATTTTTTTGGTAAGTATAAAATGTCATTAAAAGAAGAAAAACAAAAATGAAAATGCAATTAATGAATATGCCCTTTCCCTTCACTGTGAGAAGTCTATAGACAAATAGCTTGCTGCTGTTGTTCAATTGCTAAGTCTGGTCTGACTTTGCAACCCCATGAACTAACTGCAGCACACCAGGCTCCTCTGTCTTTCACTCTCTGCCAGAGTTTGCTCAAATTCATGTCCACTGAGTCGATGATGCTATCTAACAAACTCATCCTTTGCCACCCTTTTCCTTTTGCCTTCAATCTTTCCCAGCATCAGCATTCTTTCTAATGAACCTGCTCTTTGCATCAGATGGCCAAAGTATTGGAGCTTTAGCTTTGGCATGAGTCTTTCCAATGAATTTTCAGGGTTGATTTCCTTTAGGATTGACTGGTTTGATCTCTTTGCACTTTCTTGAATGTTGCATTTTAAGTCAGCTTTTTTAACCTCCTCTTCCACCTTTATCAGGAGACTCTCTAGTTCCTCTTCACTATGTCATGAGAGTAGTATCTTCTGCCTATGTGAGGTTGTTGATATTTGTCCCAGCAATCTTGATTCCAGCTTATGATTCATCCAGCCCTGCATTTTGCATGATTTATTCTGCATAGAAATCAGATAAGCAGGGTAACAATATACAGTCTTCTTGCACTCCTTTCACAATTTTGAACCAGTCCATTGTTCCATGTAAGATTCTAACTGTTGCTTCTTGACCCACATATAGGTTTCCCAG